CTTCCTCCCTTTCTTAAAAATTGGGACCACATTAGCTAGTTTCCAATCCCCTGGAACCTGGCCAGATGACCACAAAAAAAAAAAAAAAAATATATATATATATATATATATAAACAAGTGAAAAAATCATCATTTCTATTTCACATTCTTCACTAAGCTTTTCAGGCTTCTGAAAATATTTTTTTTTAAAGGAGAAAAAATCAGTGTTCTCTTGCCAAACACCCATAACTTTTTAACCAAAATTGGGAATTTTCTGACAGAGACATCTGTTTTCGGAAAAGGCCATGTTTGTAAACAACAACAACAACAATGATCATCATCATCATCATAATAGTGTTTTTTGACCAGTGGAAGAATTTGGAGGAAACCCAACACGGGGAACATTGCCGAGATTTCTTCTCCTAGGAGACCTACAATCCCTCCAACAAGACTCCACCATCCATATAATTTCTTAGCTTCAAAACCACTTTTATTAGTGGCTAAAGCTCCAGGTTAGTTTACAGCATTATCACAGTGATTGTATTAGCCATTTAATAGGCCGATACATTTCTGCCTTTCATACTCAGTAGCTAAAGGTCTGAGGAGAACTGTACCTCCATTTTCAGGGTGTAGTGGTTCATCATTTCCTCTAACCCATTAGCTATGATACTCTGTGTAGTGTTCCGTAGTAGCAAAGTAAGTAGGTAATTAAACAAATGCTTATGTCTACAAACTGTGCATCACCACCCATTCATTTCAACACTCTGGATGTTCTCTGCTTTTTGAACGACAGGTCTCTTTTGCATTTTTAATATTTCTGTTCTATAAACAGTACATCAAAGAGATAAATTCCAGGCAGGGCATTAAATCTTCAGTTGTTAGGGAACGACTTGTCACAAAACACTCCTGGCCATGCAAATTATATACTGTGACATCATCTCTTAACTCATAAATATAACTGACATACTAGGACCAGTTTCCAAATGTGAGAATGCTACTGAAACGTTGAAATCCTGTGTTTAAATGGTTATGTTTGCATTAGGGTAGGTAGAAGGGGAACTTGTATGTCTAGACCCAAATAAAAGTCATAGGTATCATATTTGTGCCCATGTTTGACATTAAATTCAAAGTATTAGAAAACAAACTATAGCATTGTAAAGTTTAATTACCGATGGGCTTTAGCCACTTTGTTTGGATTAGGATCCAGATGTGAACATTTCATAACCACAGAGACACACAGTTCTAAGTGTAGTCCAGAAGGATGTACATATGTATAGTGCTGCATATGGGAACTAGAAATATCCATTGCAGGGAAAATGTCATGATTTCCCAACTTGAGGGAAAACAAAACAAACCAAAAATTCAAAACTTCCTGGGAAATAATGAAAAAAAATTCTTTTTAGTCAATCAAAAGCTTTCATTCTGAAGAATTGAAACATTCTATCTTGATAAGGTAAAAGCATTCATTATTTTTTTTCCTAGGTGAAATTTCATCAAAGTGAACACATTATTGTGGAAAATATGATTTAAATAAAATTGTATTTTCTACTGAAAATTATCCATTGATAAGCCAAGGTTTCAAAAGTAGGAGCCTGTAGTTAGGCTTCTGAGTTCATATTTAGGCTCTTCATTTATTTTCGTAAGTACTGATCACCCGCTAATGACCACAAAAGTCAGTACTCCACAAAAACTTATTTCAGTACTCCACAAAAACTTCACGTAGAGCTTTTGGACGTGCTGCCCTTTTGGAAAATCAGATCACTTATTTTGGAGTCTAAATACTGGCTGACAAGCCTAAACATAGACATTTATTTTAGCCCATTATTAACCATGAATAACATGAGACTAGGATGTGACACAGTTAGCTGTCCTTCTTTGGTAGGGAGTGTCTCCCCCAAACTCCATAGATACAGTTCATTATTTGACATTTAGTCTTCTCTAAAAACAGCATATCAGCATCTCAAATAATTAACAGGATGCAGACAACAAAATGGTAAAGGGACATCTATTCAGTAATGGAAAACCAACTTAGATTCATTTTCCCCCTAAATCATGATAGACGTGTTGATGACATGTCAGAGACTAGATTCTAGTCCACCTATTAGTGGACTTTGGCATCTAAGTATGGCCCTATTCCACATTGCCTGAGTACCTGAAAAACTGTTAATCCAAAAGTTGAGTGGGTCCTACTCCTCTTCACTGCTTTCTATACTCATTCTGAAGGGTAAAATGGCAGTTTATAAAAGTAGATGGCATTAATGAATTTCCAGGGAGCCAAGCAAGGTGAAATAGAATTGGACTTGGTGCCTAAGTCCACTTACACACCTAATAGGTAGAATACAATTTGCCCGCATTTTTCTACAACTAGAGGCATTCAGAACAATTTTTAAAAATGTGTTTTAGTCCAAAAATGATATTTCATTGAAATAAAAACATAGATGCAGGAGTTGCATCAATTTCAATGAAGTTTTCAATGGAGAGGTTTTCTTAGGTTCAGAGTTGACCCTATGGTCAATTCCAGGGAGAAAAAAGACGTAAACAAAACCAGAAAACTGATCTGTTTGATCTGAAATGGAAATTTCAACAGAATTCCACCTTGCAGAAACTTTCAAACTTTTTTTATGTTCCACACTGGAACAACAACAAAAATTTCAAAACTTCTAAAAGGGTTCTGTTTTTTTTGGGTTTCTTTAAAGGAGATACCACCAACTTTAGGATCTTTTACTTGGACAGATATTATAATTAGCCTCAGGATCTAGCTCACTCAGAGCGGAGGACCTTTTTCATCTCTATATTCTTCATCTACCACAACAGGTTTTCTGATTTTTTTTCTTTGAGTATTGCAATCCTCTCATGGCAGCATAGTCACCTCTTTAAATAAGCATGGCAAGCTCTTGTCTGTTTAGTTCCAGCCATAAGGATAACACTTAGAGAGAATTTCATAATAACCTTTGCCTGCTTACAATCAAGCAGATGATGGGTTTGAAGTTGAAGTCTGTGAACCAATTGCCTGGTTTTAGTCCAGAACTAAGCATCTCTTTCTCCCTGTACCTCAGGTGATTGGCTTCTTTCCACTCCTCTTTTCTGAAATGCTTGATGTTTGGTTTTCATCCTTATTAATGATGCTTTCCCCCCACTTCTTTTCTTTACAGAAGTTAAAGTTCAGCTTGCCAAGACATCGAGAAGTTCGAGAAACCCACCAGAGATGTAACTGCCCAGCAGGTAGGGATCTCAGGACACTGGTGAACTTTTCTTTATCACCTTTTGTTTCAAGGAGTTTTAATGTACTGCAGCATATAATTATAATGAAAATATACTTTATGCAACATGCCTGAGGCATATGGAATGAATAAGTACTCAGATACAAATGCATTTAGATACCTATCTATTATAAAATAAGAACTCTGATTATGACAAACTCATGGAGGTACGTACCTCTTGTCCACACACTGACTGCGACAATCAAATGTTTCATAGTTTCATAGTAGTTAGGGGTCAGAAAGGACCTGAATAGATCATCTACTCTAACCCCCTGCCACTGGTTGGAGCACATGCTGGGATCACACGACCCCAGACGGGTGTTCATCCAACCTCTTTTTGAATTTACCCAAGGTAGGAGCGACGACCGCTTTCCTAGGAAGTTGGTTCCAGATCCTAGCTACCCTGACAGTGAAATAGTGCCTCCTAATCTCTAACCTGAACCTATTCTCCAGCAGCTTCTGGCCATTGGTCCTTGTCACCCCAGGTGCTGCTGGGGGGAATAGTACTCTTCCTATTTGCTGCTCATCTCCCCTAACAAGTTTGTAGGCAGCCACCAAATCTCCCCTCAGCCTCTTTCTGAGGATGAACAGGTTCAGGTCCCTTAGCCTCTCCTCATAGGGCCTGCCCTGTTGCCCTCCAACCAAGCGGTTGGAGGGCAATGTATTCTACTGCTGTCTAGTTACATGCCTCTATGAGCATTAAGACCTATGGAGTTATAAAACTACCTGAGGCATCTTGTAAAACTGCATCTTTTGACACACAGAAACATAATGAGACTACATAATCATACTGCATTTCCAAAAATGCCAATATAGAGATGCTTCCTCTGATCTAGTTACAGTACAGTAGATGGCAAATTGTTATGGCAAACCCATTTATGAATGGTATTTTATTCCATCACCATGACCCATCCAACCTTCCTTATCATTTTATAATACAATAGACTATGTACAGAGGAAATAGAAAAAGGGACAACAACCAAACACCAGATTCAAGGATATTCAAACCTTGGGAAAAATTGAATGTGACTAACTTTGTGACTCAGACTTGTTGCTAAGAGAAATGGATGAGGAGAGCTGCAAAGAGTGACAATTCTATTTCCAGTAGATTCTGTGTTGCCAGTGGCTCTTGTTGACACACACAGAGTTAAAGTGATTGCTGGATTTGGGGTCAGAAGGAACTTTCCCCAAGTCAGATTGGCAAGAACCACTAGGCATTTTTACCTTCTATGTAATGTGGGATTTGATCCACTTCCTAGGACCATCTGAGCATGTTTTACCTCGTTATTGTTTACTTCAGGGCTGCAATGTGTGAGAAAGGATGGAGTGATTTTTTTTTTTTACTCTTGCAGACAAATATTTGTTCTGAGGTTGCCTGTGATTTCAGGGAATTGGATTCAGTGACCCAGAAGGTCCTTTCTAGTCCAATGTTCTTATGTTCTGCATTTTTCTGGTTTTCAAAACAAGGTGTTTAATCATTTCTGATGTTGTGGGTAAGGAAGTATAGTTAAGTGTGGGTGTCAATAACACTTATAGAATGGCAAGGAGTCCATTTTCTCTGCACTACATATATGTAGCTCCTGTTAACTCTAATGACATCATACCAATGGATGGAGAAGAAAACAGATCTCTTCCAAGTAAAATGCCTTTGTAAGCTAATTGTGTTTGCAAACAAGAAAGACAGTTGCATTGAACTCTGACAGAAACGAACTAAAGTAAAGAATGCAAACACTCCCAAACTTTGGGAAAATTTTGACTGGAATAGTGCAAACCTTCTCTTTTGCAATAGATTCCATTTATGTGTTAAAGAAATGAAACATCAATTCAAAAGGACTTGTCATTATCTATGTTTAGCTGTTGCGTGTTGTGGGGATGGGTGAATAAGATTTCAAATAAAATATAACATCTGCTAACTGGAATCTCTGTCCAAAACTTATAGTTGAAAGTCCAGTTTCAAAAAAGTTGAGCAAACCCTTTTTTCCCTCTTATAAGGCTGCAACTTTGTGCACTTTGTCACTTCCAGGCTCTTCCTAGAATTTGACATGTTAATGACAAAGCATCACAAGAAAGAAATGTTCTTATGATGTTTCTGATCCAGCCCAAAGTGGTAATTCTTGAAATTTGAATACCAAATCAGGAAAAGTGTGTGTGTGTGTGTGTATTCATTGATTTTAAGGCCAGAGAGAGAGAGAGAGAGTGTGTGTGTGTGTGTGTGTTCATTGATTTTAAGGCCAGAATAAGCCATTATGACCCTCTGGTCTGACCTCCTGCATGACAGAAATCATAGAACATCACCCAAGAATTTCTGGTGAAGGCAGCTGAGACCTTATGAAGTGGTGGTGATAGGGAACATAGCAGACATTTCACAGCACTTGGGTGCCCCTTCATGCCTTGCAGTTCTCAGTGTTTCTGGAAAGACACCCATGATTCAAAGCAGAGATGAATGTGTCTCAAAATTTTACTTGAAGGTGGGAGGTCAATATGTTGTCATTGTATATTTGCTGGTAGAAAACATTCCATGGGCACAGCTGCTTTTTGCATAATTTCCTCATCCTAACAATCTCCTGATAAAATTTAGCCATGTTCCAAAACTGGTGTCATAGCAGGTGGAGTCATGTTTGATTCCACACAATACATTTGGGCTGTGTTTCAGAGTGGTCCATAACCAAGTGGAGATGTTGGAAACCATTTCACCCTTGTCATTTTTTTTATGCTTGAGATGTCTGAGGGCTAGACAGAATCTAGAGGCCTAGACAGTGTGACTCTTATGGGAAGCCTGAGGCTTTCACAAGCAATGAACACAGTCACATGACTCCCCCCTTACTTCCCAGCCAGTCTACTCCAATGTTGTTTAATAATCAGACATAATGTTTCTCACCAAAAATAAATGTTTATCACAAGTGACATTTGAGTGTATGTTTAGGTCCAGATCCAGCTTGTTACATGGTACAGAAGGGAAAAGGAAGACAAACTCATATGTTGAACTTCTCAGTGAGGATGTAAAGGTCTGGGACTGTCAACAGAGGGTCATCTTTAAAAGTAGGAGGAATCCACAGCTCCAGGGCATAAGGGGCTTGTTTTTGAAGGAGTTGGAAGGCTGGGAGTAAGCAAGCAGTGAGGATGTATAAATGTGGAACTGTATCTCAGTTATCTGAGTACTTGTGGTAAGAATTAGAAGAATAACATGGTCAGGAAAACAGCAAGGCTTTATTTATAGAAAATGATAAGGAAAGATATGTTTCCTTAAGCTGGGAAGCTGGTACTTCAAATAATTCATACTCGGCTTGGGTGTGACTACTTGTAAGTAGAGTGTTACTTCTGGGTCATTGTGTTTTTAAAGATATAAGCTGCAACAAAATACTAAGGCAAGCTTTTCTGTACAGGAAGGACGTGCCTCCACTAAGATTAACAGAACCAATTTGGGTTATTAACGGCTACATTCCCTCAGTTTGACAACCATTCTGTGAGCCCCTTTGTTTTCCTGTAGCCTGCCAGATTGGTACCAGATTGCCTGTACAGGCTTATTATACATTACGAGATGGATTGGAGTACCGAGAAAAATGCATGGTATTTATTAGGCTCTTCAGCCCAAACTAAGAACCAGAGAAATAAGGATTTCATGGGGTCTATCAAGCCTTCACAGCTTTGTGTGGATTTGCATGGGTTTACCCACCCAGCTGAGGTTTTTAAATATTTCTGGTAATTTAAATCCACATTTTTTTTCAATGGGAATTCATTTTTTTAAATGGGTAAATGTGGGGAGCAGAATACTGCATGAGATTTTACAGACCCCTGTGTATTGCTCTAACCAGAAGAGTAACAATAACCACACAGGTGTGGGGCAAGGTCTCCTCCCCTCAGCTCCTTTGGTAGTATTCCTGCTACCTATCTGTCTGTCTGCAGTTGAGAAATCAGTTGCCTCTTGTATAAAAAAGAGCAGGAGAGTTTACTAAATGTAATCTGTTGTTGAATGCCCCGTATCCAGTACTGAGAGCTGCTATCTCTGCTCTACCAATCATGTCAGTAAATTCCTTCATTTTGGAGTAACTTTATGGCAGGATCTTTATCTTACTCTGTGCTTAGAAAGTCCCAAGAATGTTGCAGGCTCTACTATAATTCACATTTCAATATCATCATCATTGCTCCTCTTCTTGAAGATGGGCATAACATTGGCCCTGTTCCAGTCTTCAGGGACCTCCCCCAAGTGCCACATGTTTTGGAGGAGTTTTGCCAAAGGTCCCACAATGACCTTGGCCAGCTCCTTCAGCACTCTTGGGTGAAGTTCATCCAGTCCTGCTGACTTATAAATGCCTAACTTTTCTAACTGATCACGCACTAGCTCAGTGTCAATAGTAGGAAGGTGGTCAATCCCACCATACCTACTCTGAACCTTATCTCGCATGATATTCCCCTTGGTCCAGTGAAATGCCAAAGCAAAATAGTCATTCAGGAGTTCAGCTTTTTCCTGAGTGTCGGTAACCAGCTGTCCTGAGGTGTTAAGCAGTGAAAGCACTATGACTTCAATCCCAAGTCTTAGTGCTTTCATTTTCAGAGATCCCAATGCCTGAGACATAGCCAAGAACATTCTCAAAAGATGGTTTGCATAAGTGTATTGCCTATATTTTTTAAATACCATATCTATTTTTCTTATTTAAAATGTTATGCCTTCCTCATCTGCTGCTATTTTCACAATCCCTTTGCAGTGGTTTTTCACTCTGCTGGCTCTCTGTTTCAGTTTTCAACATAATTTTTAATAGGATATTTTCTTTCTGCCCCTGCTCTGCTTATTTTTCTCCAAGATTCCTCCTCAGGCAGAAAAAGTGCTGGTAATAGTTTAGTTTGTCAAACTTTTGAACTCATGCGTGGATCCAAAATAAGGCAAAATTAGTTTTCCGTCCCCCTAAGCAGCAGGCTATCATTATTTCTACTGAAGTAGCATTTTGAGAAACAACTGAAGATCAG